TGGCTCACTGCTACCTCTGCCTCCCAGGTTCAAGTGTTTCTCCTGCTTTAGCCTCCCAAGTAGCTAGGATCATAAGCACGTACCACCACACCTGGCTAATTTTTGTATTCTTAGTAGATACGGGGTTTTGTCTTGTTGGCCAGGGTGATCTCGAACTCTTGACCTTGTGATATGCCTGCCTTGGCCTCCCAAATTGCTGGGATTACAGGCATGAACCACCACACCTGGCCTAATTTTTGTATTTTTATTAGAGACTGGGTTTCACCAAGGTCAAACTCCTGACCTCAAGTAATCTCCGGCCTTGGCCTCCCAAAGTGCTAGGATTACAGGTATGAGCCACCATGCCCGGCCTTTAATGGTAATTTAAATTTTTTTGTTAATTTCTTATTCATGGCTTTGCCTATTTTTTTGCATAGTGGAGGGATTTTGCTTTTTCTTGTTGATATGTGAAGTCCTTATATGTCAAGAATGCTCTGCCTGACAGTTTTTCTTAATGTAATGGCAATGGAAGCTCTTAACTGGCTTCCACTCGACCGACTTGCTGAATTGACCAGCACTCTTCACTTCCTTATAAAACATGCCTCCCTTGTCCCCATGCCCCATGGCACACGGGATAGGGCAGCCATACTGCCACCGTCTGCTGCTGCACATGCTCCTGTCCACGAGAGCCAGTTGTGTTTATTCCAGATATATCTGTTGTTGCAATTACTTGGTTAATATGAAGCCAATGAAATGCAAGTGTGAAAAGAGAATTGTTTCTAGGAAAATTAAGATTGTTTCTAGGAAAATTAGAAAGACTCAGCAAAGGAAGGTAACTTGTAAAAATTACTACAGAATTCAGTGTAAGACAGCTATAAATTATTGGAATGGATTACAGAAATTTAGAAAGCTTTGGCGGTGGGAATGCTTGGTGGAATAGCTCTAAGTTTTCCCTCTGTCTGTAGGAAACTGAAGCTGGAAGTGAGATGATACATTCATTATAGGTAGGCCTTATAGAAGAAAACGTCAAGCTCTGATCACATGTCCGCATTTCATTTTGTTTATTTATTTTTTGAAATGGAGTCTTACTCTGTTGCCCAGGCTGGAATGCAGTGGTGTGATCTCAGCTCACTATAACTTCTGCCTCCTGGGTTCAGGCAATTCTCATGCCTGAGTGTCCTGAGTAGGGGGGACTACAGGTATGCACCACCTCATCCAGCTATTTTTTGTATTTTTAGTAGAGACAGGGTTTTGCCATGTTTGCCAGTCTGGTCTCAAACTCCTGACCTCAGATGATCTGCCCTCCTTGGCCTCCAAAGTGCTGGGATTACAGGTGTGAGCCACTGTGCCCAGACCACATACCCACATTTCAAAAGACAGTGTTTGGCCCTATGGTCAAGACTGCCACACCAATGTATTCTAGGTAGGGGTGGGGATCACATATTTTAATAAAATTGATAATCCCTAATAGTGATGGCCCTACATGTACTTCTAGAGCCAGCGTAAATACTCGGGAAAGGGGCCTAACATGTCACTAAGCTTCTTCCACACTCTAGGAGATGGCAGTGTTACAAGACCCCGTTTCTTGAAATTATCTTTGCCCTCACCATTCAGAAAAATTACCAGATGTCGTAATAAGGTGATTTGGGACTTTCAGGGAAACAGTTCCTGAAGGTTGACTTCAATTAGTACAGAAGCTAGACTTGAAGACCTTTATTATTTATATTCTGTTGGTTTATCCCAAAGAGATATTTTAGAGCATCCATTTCTGAAAGTTCTCTGGTCATGTTTCCAGAAGTTTAGCCTAGTCTCTCAGGTGGGGTTTTTTTTTTTTTTTTTTTTAAAGAGAATTCAGAATCAGGCCCACCCTTGATCCGGTATTATTACCCAAGAAAGGATGCTCGGGGATCCTCTGAATAAATCCATAAAGAAGGAAAACTAAAACATAATTTTGTTATCATTTGTGTTTGGCTCAAGCATCTGGTAGATTTTTCAATTCTTTTCAAATTAGGATTTCCCTCTCTCTCTTTTTTTTTCTTTTCTTTTTTCTTTCTTTTTTTTTGACATGGAGTCTCACTCCATTGCCCAGGGTGGAATGCAGTGGGGTGATCTCAGTTCACTGCAGCCTCCACCTCCCAGGTTCAACTGATTCTTCTGCCTCAGCCTCCCAGGTAGTTGGGATTACAGGCATACACCACCATGCCCAGCTAATTTTTTTTTTTTTTTTTTTTTTGAGACAGAGTCTTGCTTTTGTCACCCAGGCTGGAATGCCATGGCAAGACCTCGGCTCACTGCACCCTCTACCTCCGGGGTTCAAATGATTCTCCTGCCTCTACCTCCTAAGTATCTGGGATTACAGGTGCCCACCATCACACCAGGCTAATTTTTATATTTTTAGTAGAGTAGAGACAGGGTTTTGCCATGTTGGCCAGGCTGATCTCGAACTCCTGACATCAGGTGATCCACCTTCCTTGGCCTCCCAAAGTGCTGGGATTACAGGCATGAGCCACTGAGCCCAGCCTAATTTTTATATTTTTAGTGGAGACGGAGTTTGGCCACATTGTTAGCCAGGCTGATCTTGAACTCTTGACCTCAGGTGATCCACCTGCCTTGGCTTCTCAAAGTGCTGGGATTACAGACGGGAGCCACCATGCCTGGCCTTTCTTTTTAAGATCATAAAAATTACCAAACATCATAGTGACATAATTTGGGATTTACTCTTTCACAGAAACATCTCCTAAAGGATTACTTCAGTTAGTGATTTCTATTTTTATGGGTTTTTAAATTTTTTTTATTTTTTATTTTTTGAGATTGAGTCAAGTCCGTCTCCCAGGCTAGAGTGCAGTGACGAGATCTCAGCTTGCTGCAACCTCTGCCTCCTGGGCTGAAGTGATTCTCCTGCCTCCGCCTCCTGAGTAGCTGGGACTGCAGGCACCCCACCACCACTCTTGGTTAGCTTTTTGTATTTTAATAGCGATGGGGTTTCACCATGTTGCCCAGCGTGGTCTCGAACTCCTGAGCTCAGGCAATCTGCCCGCCTTGGCCTCCCAAAGTTCTAGGATTTCAGGTGTGAGCCACCGTGCCCAGCCCAGCTAGTGATTTTTACATTGTAATTCCTTAAATGAGTATTTTGGATTTCACTCCACAGTGTTCCTCAACTGTAAGATCTACTTGAGGTGATTTGATTTTCTGGTTTGCAAGAACCTGTCTACACCTTGTGTTTATCACAAAGAAATTCTGGAGAATTTGAGCACTGTTAAAAAAAAAAAAAAAGATAAGAAACTTTAGGAACAAATAATAACGTGTTTGACCCTGTAATGAATAATATTCACACATTTTGTTAATTTTAAAAGCTGTTGATTAATTTCCAACTTGTAGCATCTGTTTTAGACAAAACGTGGACGACTTTAGTAACAGATTTTTCTATTCTGTAATAATAATTTCCACAAGGTAAAAAAAAAATGTAAAGAAGATCATATTTGAGGATGGCTATGGAGGCAGGAAAGCTGGAAGGAAGGGTGAGATGTTAATAGCCTTGTCATGTGAAGTAAGTCCTTGAGAGACGTTGTCCTAGCTGGAAGAACAAGCAGTCTAGGTGTGTGTCCAGTGATCTAGCTGATATTTAGAGAGGCGGGGGTGATCACCAAAAAAACAGTTCTGCCTCTGGGAGCAGACAGGACTGGGATAGCAAGTATTTGGTCTTTCATTTTAAGCCCTTCTGTACTATTTGATTTTTCTTTTTTTTCTTTTTTTCCTTTTTTTTTTTTTTTTTTTTTTTTTTTTTGAGATGGCATCTCGCCCTGTCGCCCAAGCTGGAGTGCAGTGGTGCAACTCCACTTCCCAGCTTGCTGCAACCTCCACCTCCCACGTTCAGGTGATCCTCCTGCCTTAGCATCCCAAGTAGCAGGGATTACAGGCATGTACCACCATGCTCAGCTAATTTTTTATTTTTAGTGGAGTTAGCGTTTCATCATGTTGGTCAGGCTGATCTCAAACTCCTGACCTCATGATCTTCCCACCTTGGCCTCCCAAACTGCTAGGATTACAGGCGTGAGCCACCGAGCCTAGCCTCTTTTTTTGGAAACAGAGTTTCTCCTCACCCACACTGGAGTGCAATGACGTGAGCTCTGCTCACCACAACCTCCACCTCCTGGGTTCAAGCGATTCTTCTGCTTCAGCTTCCGGAGTATCTGGGACTATAGGTGTGTACCACCATGCCTGGCTAATGTTTTCTTTTTTTTTTTTGAGACGGAGTTTCGCTCTTGTTACCCAGGCTGGAGTGCAATGGCGCGATCTCAGCTCACCGCAACCTCTGCCTCCTGGGATCAAGCAGTTCTCCTGCCTCAGCCTCCTGAGTAGCTGGGATTACAGGCACGCGCCACCATGCCCAGCTAATTTTTCGTATTTTTAGTAGAGACGGGGTTTCACCATGTTGACCAGGATGGTCTCGATCTCTTGACCTCGTGATCCACCCGCCTCAGCCTCCCAAAGTGCTGGGATTACAGGCTTGAGCCACCGCGCCCGGCTGCCTGGCTAATTTTTGTATGTTTAATGGAGGCAGGGTTTCATCATCTTGGTCAAATTGGGCTTGAACTCCTGACCCCACACCCACCTCGGCCTCCCAAAGTGCTGGGATTATGGGTGTGAACCACTGTGCCCGGCTAAAGCAGGGAACTTGCGCTGCATATTTGAAGCAAAAGGCAAAGACGTATGTGGATCGGCTGTTTTCATTTGACTAAACTCATATTGAATGAATGAATTTTAGAAGCTCCATCTATTTGGGAACAATAATTACCACCTTGTAATGAAAATACTTGATGTTTTTTACAAGATTTAGTAATGGAAGAGTTTTTAAAAATTCACCTTAATAGTAATAGTATGTATTGATGTTAAGAAATGAAATAAATTAGGAATGTATAATGTTGGAAACAACCTTTTTTTTGCTTCTGAGATTAAAACTATTTTTTCTTCCTAATTTTCTCTTCCTTTTTCTTTTTTTTGTTCCCCCCTTTCTCTTCCAGAAGCCCTTCAGAGGCCAGTAGCATCGGACTTTGAGCCTCAGGGTCTGAGTGAAGCCGCTCGTTGGAACTCCAAGGAAAACCTTCTCGCTGGACCCAGTGAAAATGACCCCAACCTTTTTGTTGCACTGTATGATTTTGTGGCCAGTGGAGATAACACTCTAAGCATAACTAAAGGTAAAAGGGTTGTGGGCAGCTAGTGGTGGTTGTAGGAGACAGAGATCGGGGAACTGAGGCTTGACCTGCCACCCTCTGCTCGTTGAGGAGCCACTTTGAAGTCTGGAATGCAGGGACGTCCAAAACAACCAGCGCATGTTTCTGTGGGAGTCGCCTCTCCTTAGAGGAGTTCTTGTACAATAGCCCCGAGCAAAAACACAACTTGCCCTAATTTTTATACTGAAAAGAACAGCTGGACCAAATACTGAAAGTAGTTTTTCCCCTAAGAAAACCCATTATTTCCCTAAAACGGTGTCTTATATTAGGAACAGAGCACTTGGATAAACATAATTGATTTATAAAAACTGAGGCTGTATAGTTACCTATCTATTCAGTACAAACAGGAAACTTCAGATATAAACATGTATTCTTACACACTTGTAAATGCATATATTCATGTGGACTTGTTAAAATGAAATTGTTATTTAAGAACTTGGGTATTTTTAGTAATTATACAAGAATTAATGAAAAAAATAATGAAGCTGGTTTCCAAAGCTGATGTGTCTGATTTGGTTCCTTTCCTCTAAGGTGAAAAGCTCCGTGTCTTAGGCTATAATCACAATGGGGAATGGTGTGAAGCCCAAACCAAAAATGGCCAAGGCTGGGTGCCAAGCAACTACATCACGCCAGTCAACAGTCTGGAGAAGCACTCCTGGTACCATGGACCTGTGTCCCGCAATGCCGCTGAGTATCTGCTGAGCAGTGGGATCAATGGCAGCTTCTTGGTGCGGGAAAGTGAGAGCAGTCCTGGCCAGAGGTCCATCTCACTGAGATACGAAGGGAGGGTGTACCATTACAGGATCAACACTGCTTCTGATGGCAAGGTAGGGGACCCCTGGCAGGGGGGCTGATGGGCCCAGGGCACGGGCAGTGGTAGCTGGTCCTTGGCCAGGTGAACCCCGAGGTCCTGCTGTCGGGTTAATAAGTTATTGCAAGAAAGCTCAGCCAAGAAGATGTTTAAAGAAGCTTTCAAGTAAACAGTAAGAGTCATTCCGTTAGCCTCATGAAGACCCTTTATTGAGGATCAGTTCTGTGAGATTACAAGCTCTTGGGCCTGGTATGATTCTCTTATTGTTTTGCTAGAGTTTTGTTGTTAGCAAGTTACTTAAAATAGGAGGAATATCTGTTGGGTTTTGAACACATTTTTTACAATAAGTTTCATTCTTTTAAAAATACGTTTTACAATGATAGTAATCATCCTCAATGAGAAAAATTAAAATAATAGTTAAACTTCCTTAAAGTGAAAGACCACTTTAATAGCACCTCTCCACAGAAGCCTGGCATATGGCCTTCTTCCTATGGATGACTGCATTCATGGAGAAGTGTGTGCCCATACATGCATACACATATGCAGTTATTCATGAAAACCCAGATCAAGCTCATAGCTTTCCATACCCAAAGTGTAGTGTTTTAAGGGAGTTGGTGTATATGATTCTGTGGTCTCCATATAAAGAGTCCTTAAGAGTCCATAAAGAGAAGGGAGGAGTGAATATTTACTGAGGTATTGCTATAATACCTGCATTTTTGCATTAAAGAAAGGGAGACATGAAGAGATCTTGCCTGAGATCACATGGTGAGTCATTGATGGAACAGGCTTGCATCCCACAGTCTACTCTACTGCACCAGGCTGGAGTTGAGGTACAGTGTAGACAGGTGGGTTAAGGTGGTCCAGATGGTGTTTTTTTGTTTTATTTTTGTTTTTTTTTTGAGACAGGGTCTTGTTCTGTCACCCAAGTTGGAGTACAGTGGTGTGATCTTGGTTCACTGCAACCTCTGCTTCCCAGGCTTAAGTCATCCTCCCACCTTAGCCTCCTGAGAATTAGGGACCACAGGCGTGCACCACCATACCCAACTATTTGATTGTTTATTTTGAGATGGAGTTTTGCTCTTGTTGCCCGGGCTGGAGTGCACTGGCGCAGTCTCAGCTCACTGCAACCTCCACCTCCTGTGTTCAAGCATTTCTCCTCCCTCAGCCTCCCAAGTAGTTAGGATTACAGGCATGCACCACCACACCCTGCTAATTTTATATTTTTAGTAGAGACACGGTTTCACCATGTTGGTCAGGCTGATCTCCAGCTCCTTGACCTCAGGTAATCCGCCTGCCTCAGCCTCCCAAAGTGCTGTGATAACAGGTATGAGCCATCGTACCTGGCCGTTTTTGTAGTTTCAGTAGAGACAGAGTCTCACCATGTTGCCCAGGCTGGTATCAAACTCCTGAGCTTGATCTGCCCTTTTCGGCCTCCCAAAATGCTGGGCTTAAAGGCATGAGACACTATGCCCAGCCTATATTTTTTTAATACTAGGTAATGCATCCATATGGTTAAAAAAAAATCAAAAGAACAAAATGAATTACAGTGAAAAGTAATTGTCTCCTGATTCACCTTTTCTGCCCAGAGGCAAGCACTGTTACCAGTTCCTTCCAGAGTTACCTGGACATAGACGGTTTATAGATGTTTATATTCAAAAAGGCACACAAATGATGTGTGCTCCAGGCTGTCCTGCATTGTGCTTCTCCCATGTGATAATACACCTTCCAGATTGTTTTATGGCAACAGGTTTAGAGCTGCCTCATTCATACCAGTGACTGCGTACCATGGATGGACTGTCACTTATTTCAGTGGTTCCCCTGCTGGTTGACTTTTAGGTTGTTTTCAGTCTTTTATTATTATAAATAAGGCTGATATGAGGTTGCTTTCAAGCTTTTTAAAACGTCTGGGTTCACTGTAAGAAAAATTCATTTTACATCACCACCCAGACCTCACAATATAACAGAAGTTTCATGAAGTCTTACCTGCCTTCACTGTATGTAACGTGCTCTGACTATTTTTGTGTGTGAGATGGAGTCTCACACTGTTGCCCAAGCTGGAGTGCAATGGCGTGATCGTGGCTCACTGCAACCTCTGCCTCCCAGGTTCATGCAATCCTCCTGCCTCAGCCTCCCAAGTAGCCGGGATTACAGGTGCACACCACTACACCTGGCTAATGTTTTGTATTTTTAGTAGAGATGGAGTTTCACTATGTTGGCCAGATTAGTCTTGAACTCCTGACCTCATGATCTGCCCACCTCAGCTTCCCAAAGTGCTGGGATTACAGGTGTGAACCACTGCGCTCAGCCTGATATTTTGTATTTCATTCTGTTCTATTTCATTTTTTTTTTTAACTCTAGTTGTAAGCCACTAAACCAGCAGAGCCTGTTGTCCACATGTGACCAGACATGGGCCTGTCAACTTGCTTTTAGGGTTATTCTTATCCTGGAGGTGGAGCTACGCCCTTCCATTCTGAAGGATGTACTGCAAGGCAGTGGGCCCTTTGAAGGAGCCTTCAGACCGCAAGGGTACCTTTCTGGTGAATCAGAGCACCAGAGTGTACCGTCCATGGGGGGTGATTTTCTGGAGCAAACAGCTTGCTTCCCATCTGTGCTATTTATCCAAGTCATGCTGCACCAAGATAATCACTTGAGGTTTGTACCGAACAGGATAATGGTTTCTTTTCCCTAGAGCTGTTTAATCAGCAACCTTGGAACAGATGCAGGCAGGCATGATCTAGTGTGACAGCTCATTAGCTAGGGGTTGGTCTAAAATACCGTTCAAAGGGGCAGGGAAAGGCCTGCATATGGTATACGTGATTTGCAGAATTTGAGATTCATCCAAAGGGGGAGAATCTGCCTAAGATGCCTCTGTCTAAAAGCTAGTATGTGCCAGGTGAGTTTGTTTCATTCCAGGTAGAGCACAGGGAGCTCATCTGACCACACAGTGTCCCCCATTGGGCAACGCATCACACTTTCCTTGGCATCTTGCCTCCTTTCTCCCTCCCTGGCAAAAAGTCTCCCATCAGCTCTCTGGGGACTCCAGAGCCCACAGCATCATCCAGAAGACAATCTGAAGAGGTTCCTTCTTGTGAGGGCCACACTCGACGGTGATGTGTTGGGTGGGATCATATCGCTGGAATGAGGGAACATCATTAGAGGGAGCTCCCACTGCTGTGTGTTTGTGACCCTGTGGCTCGGTGCTGAAAAATGCTGCTCACGTAGCAGAACCATGATGAAATCCTTTTTGTATTTCTTTCTTTTTTTTGAGATGGAATTTTGCTCTTGTTGCCAGGCTGGAAGTACAATGGCATGATCTTAGCTCACTGCAACCTCTGTCTCCTGGGTTCAAGCAATTCTCCTGCCTCAGCCTCCCAAGTAGCTGGGACTACAAGCATGCGCCACCACACCTGGCTAATTTTTGTATTTTTAGCAGAGACGGGGTCTCACCATGTTAGCTAAACTGGTCTCGAACTCCTGACCTCAGGTGATTCACCCACCTCGGCCTCCCAAAGTGCTGAGATTACAGGCGTGAACCACCATGCCCAGCCCCTTTTTTGGATTTCTGAGGGGAAAATTTAAGACTGGTAGGAGGAACAGGCTGGGGTTAAATAAGTTTAGTTCTTATTTTTAAATTAGCTAATCTTTAGAAAACAACTGAATTTAGAAGATTCTTCTGTGAGGCCCCAGAGGATTTCTTTCTGCCTCCACCCTCTTGGCTCTTACTTACCTCTCTTCTAGTGTTGTGAGCTTTCAGCAGCCCTTGTGGCTCATCAGTCAGCCCAGGACCACCAGCTCAAGGTCCAGAGTTGGGGACTGCAGGTCTTGAGCTGGACTCTTGAAGGGACCAATGCTGAACTGAGCCATTGCCATTTCCTGGGAGCCTTGACTGTCTCAGAAATCTCTGGATAGCCTGGGATTTGCCTCTCATTTTTCTGATACTTTCCCAAAGTTGTAACCCTCTTTTGACTTAGCAGAACTGAAGATTGATTTTTCTTCACTGCCTCCTGCCTGAAGTTCTTAGTTCTGAATGTTTATGTCCACACCTCATTGAATTCTGTGAGATGCCGCTGTCATATTCCTCAATTCCTTCTAGGCCTTAATAGAGTCTTTTCTTTCTTGAAAGAAATTTGCCCAGTTGACATTTATTTTCATGGTTTGCTGAAGGGACAGATCCAGGGCACGAAACTTGAGCAGAGTGGCAGGAAGGGACCATTTGCACAGCCTCTTGGATGTTTAGGCTTTACTCGCCCTGACCTTGGCTCAGCAGGCACATGTGCCCTGGTGGAGGAGCTTGGACCGTTCTTGTGTACTTGGGGCTTGCCCTCCTGCTGTGTGTGAGCAGCTCTCGGGGGAACTCGCTTCCTGGCTGAGCAACCTGTAAACATTATGTCTGAGGTGGGACCCTTGGGTCTAAGGGCCCAAGGCAGCCAAGTTCTAAGCTCCGTGGGTTAGGCCTGTCAGAAGAAAGAGTCTTTTTCTTTTGTTTGAGACAGAGTCTTGCATTGTTGCCCAGGCTGGAGTGCAGTGGCACAGTCTTGGCTCACTGCAACCTCTGCCTCCCGAGTTCAAGTGATTCTCCTGCCTCAGCTCCTGAGTAGCTGAGACTACAAGTGCCCGCCACTGTGCCCGGCTTTTGTACTTTCAGTAGAGATGGGGTTTCACCATGTTGGCCAGGCTGGTTTCAAACGCCTGACCTCATGATCTGCCTGCCTCGGCCTCTCAAAGTGCTGGGATTACAGGTGTGAGCCACTGCGCCCTGCAAAACGGTGTTCTAAGAGTTTCTTTGACAAATCCTATCCTTCAGGTTCATGCATGATTAGGGAGAGGCAGCAGCCCTGGCTGAGCACCTGAGTGTTGTTAATGGAACCAGGTGCATAACATAATGACATGCCATTCATGACACTAACTTGACTTTCTTCCCTGAACATGCCATGAATTCCTGATGATCACACAGTTCCCCAGCAAATGCTGCTCAAAAACTAGAACTAATCAGAAGGAAACGTCGGCCTTGACTGTTAATGGGACATGGGGAAGACTGCTGTGAACCAAATATGCCATGCATTTGAGGGAGGATGGTTTTAATATTTAGTAAGTGTCAGTGTGTAAGTTTTATGTTGAAAAATGAACTAAGTCACAAGGTCTGTAAATTTAATTATTGAAAAGGATAAAGTTGGGACTTTCAGTGAAACCGCCTGCAACTGAAATCTCTCACGCAGTAGCCTATGGGGTAATCACATGAGCCCAAGAACAAATTCTGCCATAAACTAGGACTTAGGGGAGCCATTAGCATTCCATGCTGGAGTGAAGGGACCTGATCCACCAGTTGGGAAGCACTCCTTTGAGGCCTGTGTGCTTCCTGCTCGGAAGGGAGAGAGAGATAATGAGACTTGCTCCCAGGTGCCCTGCCCTGGGGCCAGCAGGCCACACGGGCTCTGTGACCTGGTACCATGCCACTGATTTCCAAGGTGGGAGTGGTGCTCTGATTCCAGGAATGTCTTCTTGGAATGGCTTTTCTCACTTCTCTAGACTCCTTGGTAGGGAACATACCATCTGCTGAGCTAACCGAGAAGAGGGGTGGGAGCACTTGCCACCTGCAGTGAAGTCATTAGACAGTTGACAGCCTTCCGGAGGGGCAGGGAATTGGGGCTGACCCCACATTGCACTCAGTTTTCCTTGTGTACAGCACTTGTGCTGGTGACTAGCACTGAAGAGAGTGAGTGAACGTCACTGTGTGGGTGTGAAGCTAACGGCAGCCTCAGCGGGGCCGACTTCCGCTCCCCGAAGCATTGCTGTGTGTGCCTTCGTGGGTCTGAGCATGACTCATGGCATGTCCCTAGAGCAATTCACTCAGAGGCTTCTCTTCAGAGCTCTCAAGAATCAAATCCGGACCACCACATCCTGAAAAGTCCTGCCATTCAGAGCCCCTGTCTTGCAGAGGGCCAGTGTTCCCAGGCCACACCCCTTATACCAGGAGCAAGTTCCCCAGAGTGGAACAATCTTTCTGGACAAGTTTTGCCTTTATTAGAATTTTATTTTAGTAAGATTGTTACCAAAAGATTGTAACCCCAAAGCGTGTGCCTTTGGCTTGCCTGAGTTTTAGGAATGCGCTTGTGTTCTCTCCCCAAGCAAAACGAAAGAGAAACCTCCGTGTTGAAAAATCCTTTTTACCTTCTTGAGAGTTGTCGATGGGACTGACTTGTATATTTTGTTGGTACCTTCTTTTAAATATATTTTTCTTATTTACTATTACAGACCTATAGTAGTGGTGCCTGATGTAACCCACAGCCAAAGGCCTTGGCCCTGCTGTGTGTATTTCAGGCTGCTGCTGCCCTTTTATTTCATCCTCAAAGAGACACTCGCAGCAAGAACCCTCTTCTTTTTTTTAAGTAATAACATATTACAGTTATAGTCGAAGCCTGACCCTGTTCCCTTTTCTCCCTCTTGTCCCAAGCATCACCATTATCCCAAATGTGTTTCTTCTTCCCACATCTTTGCAGTTTGGGCAAGTCTTCTGGATGCCCAGTCGTGTTTTTAAGTCATCTTTCCACCTTCAGTGATGGTTGGCTGCCCTGAGCAAGCCAATAGATTCAGTTATGTGCCTGGGGTCCAGATATTTTGTGTGGATTTTAATGTGGAATTGTTTTTGGTAAGGAAGCATTCCCTTGTCACACCAATGAGAAGAAAACAGGTAGCTGGCGCCCCCTGTTGCTTTCTGCCAGCCTGCTCTTTCTCCTTCCTCTCCATCTCTGTTGTGTCCAGATGTGAACTCTGCATGCCAAGTTTGCCCTCAGGTCCCCACCTGCTGTGGCTCTTACCCGGGGACCACATGATCTTGTGTTGTAAATCCTTCCTTTTGCTTCCTCGTGTTGGATGTATTTAGTAGTTTTCATCTTCTAATCACTATTTCATTCTAGGTTTATTCCTTTTAAATTAAAAATTAAATAAATTCTTTATTTTTTCCTACCAGCAAATACCAAGTTCTACTGTGTGCTAATTTGATCAACAGTTATTTATTGAGTACTTACTACATGTTGATTTCCTGTTCCCAACATCAGAATGAAAACAGCTTAGGGCTCTGCTTTCATGAAGCTTCCCTGCTATTAGGTCAAGACAGACAGTAATTAAGCAGATAAACAGGAAATTATGAGCTAGTGGAGGGTCCACTGTCGAGAAGTAAGACAGGTGGTAGGACCACCAGTGCCGGGTGATGACTCTAGATTGGGTGATTGGAGACTTCACGGACATTTAAACTGGCCTTGGAACGAGAAGTGAGAACTGGGCACGGAAGATGAGGGGGTGGGAGATTTCAGGCAGAGGGAGCGGCAGCAGGTACAGAGGCCCTGGGACCTTTTATTGTGTCTTTCTGCTTGAGCAAGTAAGTTATAGCACACAGAGAAAGACAGCAGTAGCGGTTTTCTAAACACTCAGTCCTGTATGGGGAACCGCTTATCTGAGGTTTTGCTGTGCAGTGAATTAAGGCTCAGCCAAACTGGCTCACATGAGCCCTTTGAGCTGGCCTGTCTCTGTGGGCTGAAGCTGTTCCCTCTTTCCCTTAGCTCTACGTCTCCTCCGAGAGCCGCTTCAACACCCTGGCCGAGTTGGTTCATCATCACTCAACAGTGGCCGACGGGCTCATCACCACGCTCCATTATCCGGCCCCCAAGCGCAACAAGCCCACTGTCTACGGCGTGTCCCCCAACTACGACAAGTGGGAGATGGAGCGCACCGACATCACCATGAAGCACAAGCTGGGCGGGGGCCAGTATGGGGAGGTGTATGAGGGCGTGTGGAAGAAGTACAGTCTGACAGTGGCCGTGAAGACCTTGAAGGTAGGCCGGGACCGCCGGGGCACCCAGGGTACGTAGGGTGAGGCGTCTGCGGGCAGCAGCTGATGCCCCTGCCCAGAAACCTGCCTTCCACCTGCCATCTGAGGGCTTCATTGGTGCCAAGGAATTGAGTTTTCGGTCTTAGGTCATCCTTGTTTCTTCGTAGGAGTGGAATCATTCTTATAGTCCCAGTGTGTTTCCACACGTGGTGAGAGCTGACAAGCTTGGAGGGGTTTTGGTGTAAAAGATGAGTCATTTGGAGAAGTTTTCTCATTCTGTGGCAAGGTTCTCTTAAAGCTGTGGATTTCCATTCTGTTCGTTCAGCATGGAGATCACTTCCTATGGAGAGTTAAGGAGGAGAAAAGGATCTCTGAGTTTTGAAAGAAGATGTAACCGAAATGCGTTTGACTCGTGTGTGAATTTTGTTGGCTGATTTGGAAGGCATCACCAGTGGGTTCCAATTCTGCAGCTGCCCAGACTCCTGCAGACAGAGATGGAAAGGCCCCAGCTAGAAAGGCGTCAGGGAAACTCGCTTTTTACCAGCTCAGATACAGTCCGTTCTTTCTTGTTAACTGTAACTTTCACCCTCTCCACTAATGAATAGTGTTTGTAGTTTCCAGGCAGGCTTTTTCTTCTTTTGAAGTTCTTTGAAATCCTTAGGGTGCCAAGGGAAGGAAATTTTCATCTTCAGCCCTCCGTGTTCTTCAAAATGTGATCTGGGCTTTTCCCTGTGGCGAGGGTGTCCCCTAGTGTTGACTTACATTATCTCCACTTGTTTTAAATGAACTTTGATTACATTGACCTTTGCACAGAAATCAAGAGAGGGAGCCCCTTTTTGTAGCTATTAGGAAAAAACTGAAACATCCACCTCTGGGAAAAATAGAACTTAGTTTGTGCATGTGTCTCAGAAATCAGGTGCACACATTGAGACTGCTGCGGCTACATGCCTGCCTTTTAGGGATTCTGACTTACCTGATGCCTTCACTCAAAGGCATAGTGAAATGGGAAGTATGATCTCTGGCTGGTACAAAGCAGCTGCCTTAAAGTATCACATTCTTTAGTCCTAGAAACCAAAGGTGGTTTCCTGATGCTGTTATTCGACACACCTGTCTTTGGGGCAGGACTGGCACTGGGGTGGGGACATGTTTTTGGGTCACCTTAAGGACCCTGGATATTTCTCAGATAGGACTTTTTCTTTCTTTTCTTTTCTCTTCTCTTCTCTTCTCTTCTCTTCTCTTCTCTTCTCTTCTCTTCTCTTCTCTTCTCTTCTCTTCTCTTCTCTTTTCTTTTCTTTTCTTTTCTTTTCTTTTTTTTTTTGATGCAGTCTTACTCTTGCCCAGGCTGGAGTGCAGTGGCATGATCTCAGCTCAGTACAACCTCGGCCTCCCAGGTTTAAGTGCTTCTCCTGCCTCAGCCTCACAAGTAGCTGAGATTACAGGCACCTGCCATCAAGCCCAGCTAATTTTTATATTTTTAGTAGAGATGGGGTTTCACTATGTTGGCCAGGCTGGTCTCAAAACTCCTGACCTTAAGTGATCTGCATACCTTGGCCTCCCAGAGTGCTAGGATTATAGGTCTGAGCCACCACACCTGGTCCTGGACTTTTTTCTTTTCTTTTTTTTTTTATGGAGACGGAGTCTGGCTCTGTTACTCAGTCTAGAGTGCAGGGGTGTGATCTTGGCTCACCACAACCTCTGCCTCCCAGGTTCAAGTGATTCTCCTGCCTCAGCCTCCCGAGTAGGTGGGACTACATGCGCACACCATCATGCTCAGCTAATTTTTGTATTTTTAGTAGAGACAGGGATTACTATGTTGGCCTGGCTGGTCTTGAACTCCTGATATCATAATCCTCCTGCCTCAGCCTCCCAAAGTTCTGAGATTACAAGTGTGAGCCACCGTACCCAGCAGACTTTTTCTTAATTGAATAAATATCAGGTTCCTCAGTTTGACAGTTCCTGGGCTCAACAGTGGGATTAGAAAATGAATGGGACAGAGTTCTTCACCTGAGGCATGGGGTGGTCCAGGTAGTAGGAGCAAGAAGGATTGCAGCACAGCAATCCTCGGGACACCACCAGGGGGCGAACGAAGGAGGGACTGGGGAGCTGTGTGTAGTGGGCTGCGGTGGATAAGCATGGCTTGGCCGAGGGGCAGGAGCTGGGGGGGTAAGGAGAGGCACAGTGGTGAGTCACGGTGGCCTTGAGGCCTGGCTAAGGAGCTAGGATTTTATGGAGGCAACGGGGAGCCAGCGATTGAGAGATTTGATGCACAGGAATAACACGATCTGATTTCAGCTTCTCAGAGATTGTTACCTTAGAGAGCACCAGGACTCAGTGCAGGTGTCTTGTAAATACAGCAGTCCCCTACAAATGTGGGTCGCCTGTGGCTTGGCGATACCAGATTTTTATACCTCTAGCCACACTTTTACACATGTGCAGTTTAGTTCACTATCCTCAAATGAAAGAACTGAAAGAACAAAGCAGCCATTGCCCAGCGTCCCACAGACTGTGAGTGTAGGGCCGGGGCTGTGCAGGTGCCCCAGCTCCTTTCGTTGCACAGGGTTGAAGACCAGACCGAAGAAATGGGGCCTTGACCAGCCCAGTAAACTGGAAAAGGCCTGGACTTCACCACACTTTACCAGCATTTGTAAAACGAGGATTAAAAGCACAAAATACACTAGATTTCAACCAGTAAAGACTTGTCTGAAAACTTCAGAGATCAAGTTGTGCAACTCGACATTTGAGGAAACGCTGCTTCAGTAGGTGATGCTGTGGCATTATTTTCTGCACAGCTGAAGGAGGAGATTCCGGAGGAGAGAAACCTACTGGAGACCAGTGTGGTTTGAGGGGTGGGTTCCTTACATCATTGAATCTGAATGGGTGCCTTTCAGGATGTGCTTTACTAGCACTGTGTTACTCCGCTTTTAACTATACTTTAATAATTTTTCCCAAGAGCCTAATTCACTTATGATCTCACAGTTGGTAAAGAATCACAGGATATTGTTGCATGGATTTCTGTGGGCAGTCACCCAGAGTGGTATGTAATTAGGGAAAAGGCAGTATGTTAACTGAAAATATGATACTAAGCAGCTGCTAAATAAATTAGCCCTCCTTCCTCCTGGCCGTGTGCAAAAACATCCCTGCAGTATGTTGCCTTTTTGCCAAATAAGATTAGTGCCAATATTGGGCATTCACCCTTGCTATAGAAGCTGAGATTGCCAGGCATGGTGGCTTACACCTGTAATCCCAGCACTTTGGGAGGCCAAGGCCAGTGGATTGCTTGAGTCCAGGAGTTCAAGACCAGCCTGGGTAACATGGTGAAATTCGCCTCTACAAAAAATACCAAAAAATTAGCCAAACGCGGTGGTGCGTCTGTAGTCCTAGCTGCTTAGGAGGCTGATATGGGAGGATTACCTGAGCCCAGGAGGTTGAGGCTGCAGTGAGCTGTAATCACACACTGCACTCCTGCCTGCGGAATGGAGTGAGACGCTGTCTCCCAAAAAACACATACACACATAAACAGCTGAAATTCTTGCGTGGATTCTAAATGATGGCAGTGGCTAACATTCGGCTTTCACCATGCCCTTGCTGTGTGCCTGGCAGAGGTCCCCGTGCTTGTTACACACCATATCCCATTGATTCTTCCAGGCTGAGCATCCCAAACCCCAAAATTCCCAAATCCTAAATGCTCCTAAATCCGAAGCTTTTTGAGCACCACCATGCAGCTCAGAGGAAATGCATATTGGAATGTTTCAGATGTTGGATTTTCAAATTTGGGAAGCTCATCTGGTACTACATAATGCAGACACTCCACAATCTGAGAATATCTGAGCTCTGGAGCACTTCTAGTCCCAAGCATTCAGTTAGGGGACATTCACCCTGTATCAGTGTTTTAATGCTGAGAAAATGGAAGCAGAGAGAGGTTTAGTGACTGGCCTGGCGTCACACAGCCAGGAGTGGCAGCATCAGGATTTGAGCCTGAGCACTCAGCTCCACAGCTCAGCTCTTCTTTTTTTAAATTGAAACCAGATTCTTATTTCTCAAACACCATAAAAATTTACATAAGCCATTGTTATGCCTTTAAAAAAAAATTAACTTTTCCCCCACCCTCCTATTCGCTTCCTTTACTGGTTGTGGCTGCGAGCTACCTTCCTCTTCAAAACCCTTGAAAAATCCTTGCAGCCTCGCCCAAGTATCCTTCCCTCAGCCGATTCTGGGTGTCTCAGCTTGCACCCATCCAGCCAGCCCATTTCCTATTGCTGGCCTCTCCAAGGGCAGAGCCAGAGTCCTCCGTTGCCAGCAGGGGGAGCAAGGGTCTACTTTTAACCACGACTCCTTAGTGAACAAGTAAAGCAGTCTTGGGTCATGTACTTTCCAGGCAGAAGGAAGAGGGAAAAAAGGAGGACACTAGGCTGACCCTGGCATATGGGAAACTGGAATTACAGCAAAGGCCCATTGATTGGGAAGTTCACCCTTGAATTTTGACAGTCTCGGGCAGGACATAGTCTTACTATCTGTGTTTTAGGAAGGACGTGGTTAAGAAAACCAACAGTCAAGTACAAGAAGCTCTAATTTTTGGAGGTATGAGAACACGGTCTCACTGTGTTTCCCAGCTGGCCTCAAAAACTCCTGTCTCAAGCAGTCCTCCCACCTCAGCCTCCTGAGTAGCAGGGATCACAGGCTTGTGCCACTGTGCCCAGCTAAGAGGCTGCAGTTTTTAAATGAGCTGTATTCAAAGTTTGGACAGCAGTGTTTTTGTTTTTCTTTTTCTAAGAATCAGTTCTCTAAGTAATAGACTTTGGAAAAGACCGCTGTTGATCTGGCTGTGGCATTGAGATTGACTCATGAGCTAACTGAGAGATTTACTACTTAAACAGTGGAAAATAATGTACAGGATATATTTTTTCCAATAGGTACTATATGCACACAGTGCCCTCCCACCCTCGAGTTCTGTGTCTGTCCTGAGTCCACATGCGTGAACATGGGACAGCATCCTGTAGACACTGCTCTCTGCCTTCTGTTGTCCACATAATGTGTCCTCATCAATATACATAAGGTTGTCTTGGTTTTGTGTGGATATATTTTTAACATGTACCAGCTTTCAGTGGGCCATTGTCTTATTGCCAATATTTGGCTGTTACAAACAGCAGCACAGGGATTATCCTCATTTGTATATATGTGAGAGTCTCCCTGTGGGTCAGCTTCTCAGAACTTCTGCATCAGGGACCATGAGCATTTACGCCTTTGACCATACTGCCAAAGTGCCTTCCAAGGAGTCTGTGTCATCAGTTTGCACTCCCCTGTGGTGCTGGGAGAGTACCTGTTGACTCCACCTAGCACAGTGTGTTTCAGTTTTATTTTCTTTCTCCCAGGAAATGGGTGTTATTTGGGGAACTTCAGAAAGAGTCCAAGAAGGAAGGGCAGTCGTATACTTGGTAGCTGTATGCAGTGGCTCCCTGGCAGCACAGGGTGGGCCACACACAGGGAGAGTGGCCGTGCAGCTCAGAGCCTACTGTTGCCAGGCTGTACTTGCTCCTGCAGGATAGGCAGGCGATCCCCCTGGGCCTCCCAAAGTACTGGGATTACAGGCGTGAGCCACCACACTCAGCTGGCTATTGTTAATAGTTAAAATAATAAATTCAACTGCCGGGCGCAGTGGCTCACACCTGTAATCCTAGCACTTTAGGAGGCTGAGGCGGGCGGATCACCTGAGGTCGGAAGTTTGAGACTCGCCTGACCAACATGGAGAAACCCTGTCTCTACTAAAAATACAAAATTAGCCAAGCATGGTGGTGCATGCCTGTAGTCCCAGCTACTCAGGAGGCTGAGGCAGGAGAATCACTTGAACCCAGAAGGTGGAGGTTGTGGTGACCCAAGATCACACCACTGCACTCCAGCCTGGGCACCAAGAGCAAAACTCCGTCTCGGAAAAAAATTAAAAAAAAAAAAAAAAAAATTGGACTAGGTCTGATTCCAGCAGGGGGAGACAAATTCACACTGATTTTTCTGTAAGAAAAAGAAGGAATTATTTATACTTTGCTCCCGTGTGTTTGTGTGTATATGAGAGAGAAAAGAGAGACAGATGAGAAGAGTGCTGCCTTTGAAAGCCATGTTCCTTTTGCATGCACATGCCTCTCAAGATTATAACATGGGTCTGTTAGAAGAGGGTCAGTAGCCATAAAAGCAAATGACATTTATGAAATGGTTTCATTGTGTGTGGTTTATTACGTGGTCTTCAAAAAAGAGAAACCCCACTTATTTAGAAAACTTCCTTTGAGAGCTACTTTTTAACCATACTGTTGATCAGGCAAGATTCTGGAGGCCCCAGTCCTGTACGTGAGCAGCATTGAATCCCTGGATGCTGGCAGGCTTTCACTGTCCAGCCTTTGACATTAGCGTGTCACCCTGGTAAATCAGAGCACTCCATGCCAAAAACAGCATGGTCTGCTGAGCACGTTAAGGAGCAGAGAGGACTCAGAAGAATTAAACGGCCAGTGGGGTGGTGGCAGGGGTGAGCTCTTTCCCCCTCGGACAGCTTGGCACAGTGACTACCAACGAGGTTTAATTGACATTAAGAGCAGCTCACCATTTTTAAAGAGCAATAAATTGTTTCCAAGTTTCAGTCTCATGGAGCCCTGAGCTAAGAGATAATGGGCTGACACATAGCCTCATTGGTCATGCTTCACTTGTAAACAGGACGGGCCAAAGGAAGAATACTGTAAGTAAAGGTTGGCCCGTCCTCTAGAAGCCTCCCCTGCAGCAGTGGGGGGAACCGGGGCAGCCACAGCAAGCAGGACTGTCAGGATGCTGTCTCCCAAAGGGGGCGGAACATATAAAGTTTCACATTTAACAGAAAGTTGATGAAGCCTTCCTCTTTGAGGAGCCTAGTTTTTAAGGCGTTCACTCCCTGTTCCCTGCACAGTTTCTCTCCAAACTCTGTAAGCTTGGAGGCATCTCATTTCCTTCTTTGGCCTTTGTAGCCAGGTTCTTGCAGCAAACAGACCATATCATTTAACACCCACCTGCTTCTTTTTTTGATGGCTGGTTCAGTAGACAGTAGCGTTTTTTTTGTCAAAAGGAGGCCAGGGTCAAGGCTCTGTATGATGGGGCTGTCCCCAGGGCTTCAGTGCCACGGCACTTCAGACTTGAGCCCAGACTGAAAAGATGCGAGGACCTGTAGAAGTCACAGCCTGTCTGTGCTGGGCCCAAGCTCTATCTTTTTCTCCCCCTTGGCATTTAGATGCTGTGGACTTGTTAAAATGTGACATGTACTGATGATCCTTGTGAATTCGTTGTTAGGGGAGCTGCTGGTGAGGATTATTTTAGACTGAGTAGACCTGATTGTTTTAGATTGACTAAAAATCAATTATTTTAGATTGACCTGACAGACAGTGATGACTGCTTCATTAAGAGCCACGACCACGTGCCAGGGCAGTTCAGCATCCTCTTTGCTACCAGACTTTGAGACATCGCTCTTCTTTGTGATGCAGTATCTCTTTCTTGTCACCGGGGTCTCTTCCCCTACGCGAGGTACATTTCAGACTCTTCAGGTGATGTTTATGCTGAGTATGTTAGCACCCCTTGGAAACCAGGTTCCCTGGGGAAAGGGTGCCACCTTTGTGGTGTTTGCCCATGTAGCTCTCCTGCACCACCGTGAACTCCAAGAGGTGGGGAAACACGTGTGGCCTGCCTAGTAGGCACCAGAAGCAGGTTGCTGCACATGCAAGCCAGCTTTGCCCTGTCACTCTGGGGGAGAATTCAAAAGTTTGCTCCCAAAGGGGAAGGTTCTTTGTGTCATCAGGCTGCTGGTCAGCTGTTACGGAACCGTCTGTAACAATGTGACCATCACAAGAGGCATCCCAGGATGAGCGTGCGTTGAAGCTCCATTTTGTATTAACCATTCAATTCATACTTACCCACTTAAAAGCACTTGCTGAAATAATTTCACCCTCATTTTTTCTTTCTGCAGGAGGACACCATGGAGGTGGAAGAGTTCTTGAAAGAAGCTGCAGTCATGAAAGAGATCAAACACCCTAACCTGGTCCAGCTCCTTGGTGAGTAGGCCTGGGGCTCTATAGAGAGGGTCTCGCACCACACCTGCAGGGTGACACAGGCGCTGGGGAAGACGCACGGGCGGCTCACTGCATGAAGCCTAATTGGAGCATTTGTGCTCTACCAGTACTCAGCCGTTGGTCAGATGAGGCCGGTGTGGGATGGGCACATGTGCAAATGTAATAAGAGAGAGAAAATGTGATTATTTTAAGTGGATACGTAAGAGCAAATGCAAATCTGCAATTAGTTTCTGAAGCTTGAGAATTTTCAAGAGTTTTCTCACTGAAGTGATTCTGTAAGTAGACATAACCATTTGGTGGTAAACTGACGGTGGTGAAGGTCATTTGGGTGGGGTCAGGTCTGCTTCTGAACTCTGTGGCAGCCTCTTCCTGTGTGAATTCAAGTTCCCTGGCTTGAGAAGAAGAAAGGAGCCTGGCCATGTCCCTCCCATGTGAGTACAGTCCCGGAACACCGGTGCTTGGGACCATGTTAGAAGCTGGGCCCAGGTCTCAGGAGCAGAGTCAGAATCCTTCAGAAGGCTTTTTCTTTAGACCGTTGTTTGTTCAGTGGGAGGGGAGCCACGTGCTGAAGTCCTCAGTGTCTTGTTGGCAGGGGTCTGTACCCGGGAGCCCCCGTTCTATATCATCACCGAGTTTATGACCTATGGGAACCTGCTGGACTACCTGAGGGAGTGCAACCGGCAGGAGGTGAATGCCGTGGTGCTGCTGTACATGGCCACTCAGATCTCATCAGCCATGGAGTACCTGGAGAAGAAGAACTTCATCCACAGGTAGGGGCCTGGCCAGGCAGCCTGCGCCTTGGAGCCGTGGGGCCTGGAGCTAGGAGCCGGGAGCCAGGCAGCCTTTACAAAAAGCCCCAGCCTAGGAGGTCTCAGGGCACAGCTTCTAACCTCAGTGCTGGCAACACGTTGGACTTTGGAACAAAGGCAAACACTAGGCCCCTGGCAAAGCCAGCTTCGGGTATGGGTCCAGGGCTGAATTCAGCCAGGCCTAGACTCTGGACCGGTGGAACAGTTAATCCCTGGCGTGAGAAATATTTCATTTTTGAACCATTTTGGGCTAAGTGGAATATTAAATGAAGTTCATAAAAGGTGTCCTTCCTAATCATCACAGCTCCCTCTGAAATAGAGTGCTCATTGTTCCTCCAGGGCCAGCATCCATCAGTAATAACCTCTCCCTGGGAGTCGCTGGCATTGCTTTTACACAAACACATGGTAACAGCCACTACTTGGGTTTTGTTTTTTAGTGTGTGTGTGTGTGTGTGTGTGTCGGGGGGGCTGGTTTCCCTGCTTTCTCTTTATTATCTTTTTATTCTCCACTTAACTTGCTGTCCTCTGGTTCAGGGATGTTTCCACAGTTGTCAGAATTGTGTATATGGAGGTCTAGGTCTAAATTAAGCCTCTTTGCTGTTTTAAACCCTCAAGTGTTTTGACCTTCAAATGTGCCACAATTATCTTAGTCTTCGAATTCTTTGCTGGTGGAAATGGCTTCCTAGCAAAGCAACGACTGTGCAGGACAGAGCTGATGGGCTTTGCCGGCGTCTTTTATATGAGATGTTCTCCACGCCACCACTATGACCTTTCCTACCCAATTAGCTCAAATATGAAACCTCTACGTGTGATTTCATAGCAAGGAATGAGGGTAGCATGTGTGAAATGCTGGCGGCTCCTTGTAAGACAGATTTTCTATGCTCCACGAGAGCCGGAGCCGTACTCCTGGCTTTCAGGAAAGTGAACCCTCTGATGCTGCAAATTGAGATTGCTTGACTTCTGGTTTGCCTTGCACGGCTGGGTCTGTTCCTTCTTCATTCAAGCGAACTTAAAATGCTTTACCAAAATCCTCTTAGGCACAACTCTTCTGTATTTGATTTCACTCTCGTTGCTGATGATCAGGCTATCTCATGCAGCCATCGCCTCAAGCTGCTGCCTCCTCTCATTCCCCTCTTCCCATTTGCCTCGTGATTTCATGGTTAACGTTCATGAACCAATGATCAGACTCCTACCTCCCTGGCAGAACCAGGAAGCAAGAGGAAGCAGATTATTCAGGAGAGAGTTTTTAGGATACGTTTGAGTAAGCGTCAGGAAGAAAGGAGGAAGTAGGAAGCACAGTCTGGGTAAAGAATGCCATGGGCTTTGTTTTATTTTGTCCCATCAAGTCTGGATAGGACAAGTGGAAATGCACACTGATAGAAGTTTCTTGCAGTCAAGGGCTGTTCGTCTCTGTGCCTGGCATAGAGTAGCGTTACACACTTACTATTGCCGGCACATCAATCAAAGCACTTAGCATATTAATTAATTATACTCACAGCAACCCTAAGAGGTGGGTGCCGTTATTATCGTCTTCATTTTACGGATGATGTAACTGAGTCCCAAGGTAATTAACTTACTCCAGATCACGGGGCCAGGGAGCCCGCTCCCAGCATCAGCCTCTCCCCATGTTGAGATCTCAGGGTATGTTTGCCGAGAGGCTGGCGCTGTACTAATTGCCATTAACTTCCAGGGCACGGGACTCAATCTTCCCATTGTCAGCATTGCACCTTTGTTCAGCAGTGGTGGATTTGTGAAGTGAGAAAGTTGGCCAAGAGCTCTCATGGGTCAACATTTTCCTTTCTCAGAGATCTTGCTGCCCGAAACTGCCTGGTAGGGGAGAACCACTTGGTGAAGGTGGCAGATTTTGGCCTGAGCAGGTTGATGACAGGGGACACCTACACTGCCCATGCCGGAGCCAAATTCCCAATCAAATGGACTGCACCTGAGAGCCTGGCCTACAACAAGTTCTCCATCAAGTCTGATGTCTGGGGTAAGGGCTACTGCTGTGCTGGAATGGTCCTTCCTGGCTACAGGAGGCTTTTTTTTTTTTTTTCCTTCTTTTTCTGCCAATTTCTTTTTCTCTTCCCTTTTCTTCATTTCTTTTCTTTTTTTTTTGAGATGGAGTCACACTCCAGCTCAGGCTGGAGTGCAGTGGTATAGTCTCGGCTCACTGCAACCTCTGCCTCCTGGGTTTAAGTGATTCTCCTGCCTCAGCATCTCGAGTAACTGAGATTATAGGCACTTGCCACGCCTGCCTTTTTCGGTATTTTTAGTAGAGATGGGTGTTCACCATGTTGGCCAAGCTTGTCTAGAACTCCTGACCTCAGGTGATCCACCTGCCTTGGTCGCCCGAAGTGTTGGGATTACAGGTGTGAGCCACCGTGCCCAGTCACCCTTTTCTTTTTTTTTCTAACAGTGTATTTGGCCTGAGGTCCCAATACGGTACATAGTATATGTGCTGATCTGTCTGTGAAGTCTCTTCTATAAGCCCCCTCTTCATGTCTTTATTTCCCTTGCTGTTTATTTATTGAAGAAACTGTCATTTGTTCCTCAGAGTTTCTTATGTTCTGGGTTTTGCTCATTGTCACCTGTGGTGTGACTTAATATGTTCCTCTGGCTTCAGTATTCCTAGTAAAGGGTGGTTGGATCTGGATGGCCTCATCACATTAAGGTTTGACTGTTTTGTTTTGTTTTTTTTTAAGTAGGAGTGGATCTGAGGAGATGGTATGCCCTTCCATCAGTAGATAGAGAATGCTTGATTTTCTATCATTTTTTTGTGGAGGTGGGGATTTGGTAATTTTTAGCAGTTACTGATACACAGTGCCTAGATCCAGTAGTTTACTAGGAGTTACCAGACAGGAATTCTCTAATTCTGTCTTCCCAGTCATTTATTAGTGGAGTACTTGTATGAGGAGAAACGGTTCCTCATCTGTTTGGTTACTCAGTGGTACAGTTCATATAGGAAGAGCAGGATCAATTCTTTTTTTTTTTAAAAGATGGGGTTTCACCATGTTGGTCAGGCTTGTCTTGAACTCCCGATCTTAGGTGATCCGCCCACCTTGGCCTCCAAAGTGCTTGGATTACAGGCATGAGCCACCACGCCCAGCCCAATTCTTGCTTCTTTGCTTTTATTTACCAGTTTTTAAAATAACGAGTTAGTTTTTTTTTTTTTTTTTAAAGACAGAGCCTTGCTCTGTCACCTAGAGTACGGTGGTGCAATCTCAGCTCACTGCAACTTCTACCTCCCGGGTTCAAGCAATTTTTCTGCCTCAGTCTCCCAAGTAGCTGGGATTACAGATGCCTGCCACCACACCTGGCTATTGTTTTTTTTTTTAGTAGAGATGGGGTTTCATCATGTTACACAGCCTTTGAAACAATGTTCCAGGAATCCAGTAACTCCTGAGCTCAGGCAATCTGCCCACCTTGGCCTCCCAAAGTGCTGGGATTACAGGCATGAGCCACCATGCCGTGCCACAAGTGAGTTTTTTAATACCCTTCAGTGGTGGCCAAATAGTTTTTTGTTGTCGTTTGTCATTCATGGTGTTATTATGAACTCTCACATGTATATATATTTGATGCGTTTCAATCCACTGCAGTTATTTTCCCTGTTGATATTCAGCTTGTCTCATCTTTGGCCAGTGGGAACTTCACATCAGCTCCTAGTCATTTTGATGTTACCCTTGTAGTTTTCCATGACATCCGTGCCCTCAAATGACAAGATATTCCAGGTTCATTCTGTGCCCCAGGCCTGAATCACCCGTTTCTCCAAGGAATCCTGTCCTTTAATGGGAAATGGAATTTCAGGCCATAATCTGGGATTTCAAAACTTTCAAAGATTTCATAAGATTTTTATAACATGTTTAGAGTTAGAAGGGGCTTTGGAGATAGTCCTGTGCACCCAGAAATAGTGGTGGCCAGTTAGTCACAGAGCTGGTTGGTCACAGAGCTGTGAGTTAACATGGCCAGCTGACTTCCAGCGCCAGGTTCCTTCTTCCACATATCCCAGAAAGTTGGTCACATTACCTGAAAGACCCCACAGGGTCTGATAACTCATCATCTGCCCTCCTCCAGCATGTTTGTCTGTGGGGTGAGTTTACTGAAAGTCTTGTTCTGCCCTGGTCTTTTTTTGAGACGGAGTCTCACTCTGTCACCCAGGCTGGAGTGCAGTGGTAGGATCTTGGCTCACTGCAACCTCCACCTCCTGGGTTCAAGGGATTCTCCTGCCTCAGCCTCCCAAATAGCTGGGACCACAGGCGGTACACCATCACACCTGGCTAATTTTTGTATTTTTAGTAGAGAAGAGGGTTCGTCATGTTGGCCAGGCTGGTCTTGAACTCCTGATCTCAAATGATCCTCCCACCTCGGCCTCCCAAAGTGCTAGTCATTTGAGGGCACGGATGTCATGGAAAACTACAAGGGTAACGTCAAAATGACTAGGAGCTGATGTGAAGTTCCCACAGGCATGAGCCACTGTGCCTGCCTTGTCCTGGTCTCCTGATGATAAAGAGCCTGGGCTGCTGCTGGGGCGGTCCCTTCTGAGTCTGCTGCAGAGGTCACTGATTTTAAATGCAGTGTAATGCTATACATCTTGAACAACATTTCTCTTTGGGTTTTCTTTCAGCATTTGGAGTATTGCTTTGGGAAATTGCTACCTATGGCATGTCCCCTTACCCAGGAATTGACCTGTCCCAGGTGTATGAGCTGCTGGAGAAGGATTACCGCATGGAGCGCCCAGAAGGCTGCCCAGAGAAGGTCTATGAACTCATGCGAGCATGTGAGCTTTCCTCAGCCCATTCGCACAAGTGTATGTGGGCATTGCAGAAATTCCAACTGTGCAGGAGCGTGCACACAAAGTTAAAAGTCTTTCCATTAGTTCTCTCCATTCCAGTTCTTCAGAAGCAGTTACTACAGCCATTTGATACGTATTTTTTCAGTTTCTTCAGGGCCTCTATTGACCTTTATTTGATAGATAGTATATGTGTAACTTGTCTTTTAAAGCAAAAATGGTGTTGATGAATACCAAACCTGGGTTTATTCCTAAATACAGATTTCCAGGCCCTACCTTCAGAACTTCTGCTACAGTAGCTAAGCATGCAAGGTGATTGTGTGTGTGTGTGTGTGTGTGTGTGTGTGTGTGTGATGGAGTTTTGCTCTTGTTGTCCAGGCCAGGTGTAATGGTGCGAGCCCGGCTTACTGCAACCTTCACCTCCGGGTTCAAGTGATTCTCCTGCCCCAGCCTTCCAAGTAGCTGGGATTACCAGGCATATAACACCATGCCCAGCTATTTTTTTTTGTATTTTTAGTAGAGACGGGATTTCATCATGTTGGCCAGGCTGGTCTTGAACTCCTGACCATGTGTTCCACCCACCTCTGCCTCCCAAAGTGTTGGGATTAAAGGTGTGAGCTGCCGCGCCTGGCCTTTGGCTGGTATTTCTAAAAGTTGAGCTGTTGGTTCAAAGAACTGTGTGGATTTTAAGTTTTGATAAATCTTACCAAACCGTTAAAAAAAGTTGTACCAGTATCTCCTCCGGTCAGATGCGTATGGGAGTGGCTGTCTGTGGTCCCAGCACTAGGCTTTGTCAGCCTGTTAAGTCCTCATGTAGTCTCATTTTCATGAGAATTTCTTTACTTCAGACCTTGATAACCATGAAGAACGAATGTTGGGCTTAGTCATTTTCTATACCTACTAGAGTGAGGCTGGGAAAAATGTATTTGTAAATGTAGTTCTTGCTGTCACCATCTCTCTGGGGTTTTACAATCCATAATCCTGCCAGCATCTATTGTCTTTTCATATTCTTAATGTCTATAATAGGACATGATGGCATTCGTCATTTTAACTTGGTGCAGCAAAAGATGGTTAGCAGGATTGGAATGCTGCTTTCATTCTAGACTTTTCCTTGAGAACTGCTGGCCCTGTATTGCTAGCCGGACCTCATGGATGGTCTGACTTGGGTTTCATCTGGCCAGGTTGGCAGTGGAATCCCTCTGACCGGCCCTCCTTTGCTGAAATCCACCAAGCCTTTGAAACAATGTTCCAGGAATCCAGTATCTCTGATGGTAAAGTACCCATCCTGGGGTCACTGCAGTGGGGTGAAAGGGCGGATGTGTGGGACTACAGCCTGGGTCATTGAGTTCACTTCCTGGTGGAAGTTCACAGACCAGCCTGTCCTCTGAGACCAGAAAGCTGGGCAGAGGTCTGGAGTGTTGCTCTCTTGTCTACTGCAGCCCTGCAATTCTGAGAAATGCTAAGGGCTATTTCTCCGGCATCTAGGTGCCTTTTCTTTAGTTGTGTGCAGATGAGCACTGTTATCTTACAAAGAAAGAGAACCACCATACCAAGCCGACACCAGTAGTGATGGGTGCTGGATTTTTGTTTCTGTACCTGTGTGATTCTTAGAAGTGGAAAAGGAGCTGGGGAAACAAGGCATCCGTGGGGCTGCGAGCACCTTGCTGCAGGCCCCAGAGCTGCCCACCAAGACGAGGACCTCCAGGAGAGCTGCGGAGCACAGAGACGCCGCCGACGTGCCTGAGGTGCATCACTCCAAGGGCCAGGGAGAGAGTGGTATGTCCCCTCACTCCCCTGCTGCTCTTCCCCTCCCTGCTAGAGGCTGCATTCGGGCCAGCATAGGCCAACGGGAAGCAATGAATGGAGCCCGCACAGAAGGGCAGGCACAGCCTCTGTCAACGGTTCAATTTCGGAAGGAGAAAGGTTCTTCTCTCCCCACCTGCCTCCTGTCCCCTTCCTCTGGGAGTCACCGAGGAGTATAGGCTCCAGCAGTGGGTTCCATCCCATAGGCAGAGGTGCTTCTGAAGCCCACCAGGGAGCTGCCCATCTCTCACCTGTTACCCACGGCAATTGTGGTTGCTCTGTCAGAGCAGATGCAACAACAGTAAGCACCAGGCTGCCTGACAAACAGCTCAGGGCGAAGGCACTGATGTGACAGTCTCGCTGCAGCCAGGCAGAACCAAGACATGCCCGTGGACAGAGCTGGTGTCCTGGTGGTCTCTGGGAAGAGCATCTTTCTGGTGCGATTCCCTAGGCAAGCAAGGGAGTCAGCTCAGGAGGGGTCTCGAGACACTAGCAAAATTAATACTTGCCAACATTCATATAGTGTGCCTACAGGCCAGGCTCTGTTCTTTGTTGACCCCAGAACCAGCAGTCCGGGTTCTACTGCAGACCAGCTGAACAAAAGCATTGAGGGGTGTATTAGTCTGTTATCACGCTGCTAATAAAGGTATACCTGAGACTGGGTAATTTCTAAATGTAAGAGCTTTAGTTGACTGACAGTTCCACATGGCTGGGAGGCCTCACAATCATGGCTGAAGGCGACTGAGGAGCAGTCACATCCTACTTGGCGGCAGGCAAGAGCGCGTGTGCAGGGCAGCTCCCCTTTATAAAACCATCAGATCTCATGAGACTTACTACCACGAGAACGTTGTGGCAGAAACCACCCCCATGATTCATTTATCTCCACCTGACCCCTCCCTTGACACGTGGAGATTATTACAATTCAACGTGAGATTTGGGTGGGGACACAGCCAAGCCATATTGGGGGCGGGTGGTCTAGGCCAGCCATCTGGGATTGTAGAGGATCCTGGGGATGGCAGTGGTGGACTCCATTCTAATGATCACAGACTGGATGCCTGTGAAGGGATGGGACAATGCTCCGCTTTATGGAGATTTATGGTGGGATGTTTACTGACAGCAGAATCTATAGACCTGAGTTTTCTTTATCATGTACTCATATTAGTGTAAAAAAAAAAAAAAGCTGAATGTGCAGCCCACATAATATATATGGCATGTAAAGTACATATGTCCACTACCGTAGGAGTATAGCATGTATATTAGATACCAGAATGCACATTTAAAAGGCTTTCATGCTAAATGAGTCCAAATTAACAATAGTTCCTGCCCCGCTGGGTTATCTTGCTCCCACACTTGGAGGTTATGGCATATAGACTCTCCAGAATCTTCCACCGTTCCTCCTCCTGTTTTTTTTCCCGGTTTCAGGGGGCTAAGCAGTAGGGAGGAAAGGCCTCTGTGGGAACGCTGTGCTTATTATGAGCCCAGTGATCAGTAGTCATGTTCATTTATGCCCGTCAGTTTCATCTGAGGGGTATTTTGATAGTGATCTCTTGGTGAGCCGAGTGTGTCAATTAACTGCTCAGCATTGAAACCAAGCAGTGCATAATTCATTGCTATTTCACTCTCCTGGCTTCCTTCCACTGGATTAAAGTTTTGGGAGGGCCTCGGCATTCCCTGATAACCTCTGTGCTGCCTTGGATTCTGATAAATGCATACTGGTACCTCTGTTCTGAGTTACAAGTGCCAACAGAAACCCTCTTCTTGCAGCTGACCTTTAAGGGAGAATTCTGTCATTCACTAGCAGGAGCTTGGCAACAACAAAATGATTTTTTTTTTTTTTTTTTTTGAGACGAAGTCTGATTCTGTCTCCAGGCTGGAGTGCAGTGACATGATCTCAGCCCACTGCAACCTCCGCCTCCCAGGTTCAAATGATTCTCTTGCCTCACTCAGCCTTGCGAGTAGTTGGGAGTAAAGGCACGTGCCATCACTCCAGGCTAATTTTTTTTTCTTTCAAATGAGTTGGTTTAATTTCAGGTGATACAAAGTTTAGGTTAGAATAAGGACCAAAGAGGAGATGAGGTTTCACCATGTTGGCCAGGATGGTCTTGATCTCTTGACCTCATGATCTGCCCACCTCAGCCTCCCAAAGTGCTAGGGTTGTAGGCATGAGCCACTACACCCAGCCCACCAGAAATATTTCTTATGAACTATGATTGGTATGTAAAGAGTGCCCATTTAAAAATTGTCAGAGGTCATTCTTTCTTGTTTCCTGTGCATAATGGCCCATTGTCCCTTCCCCACTGTGGAACCAGGCACCTTATTCCCAGAGCTCCTCATAGGCCTCTCAGCTAGGTGACTGGCAGGAAAGCCACAGGTTTTGACCCTTCGCTTGGCCTTGTCATCGTTTTCACTCACCAGAGTGGTGTGGGTGTGGGCTGCTGCCTTAAAGTAAACCAGTGCAGGGATGAAGAGGCCAGGGCCATCTAGCTATCCAGATTTTTGTTCCCATTTTCAGGGAAAGAGACTTTTTTCTTTTTTTGAGCTGGAGTCTCGCCTTGTTCCCCAGGCTGGAGTTAAGTGGTGTGATCTCCACTTACTGCAGCCTCCGCCTCCCCGGTTCAAGCGATTCTCCTGCCTCAGCCTCACAAGTAGCTGGGATTACAGGTGTGCACTACCACACCTGGCTAATTTTGTGTTTTTAGTAGAGACAGGGTTTCTCCATGTTGGTCAGGCTGGTCTCAAACTCCTGACCTCAGGTGATCCACCCACCTCAACTTCCCAATCTCATACCTACTGGGATTGCATCTGGCTCAAAGCCTTTCCTGATGACAATCCTAACAGCAGTGATGGCTTTACTGAGAGGAGCGTGACATGTGCTTCACCTTTGCGATGTCATCTGCATTCTGACAACAACGCTGTAGCGCGGTTACGAGTGAGCAAGCTGAGGACAGGTGGAGAGAAGGGGCTGGCCTGGCCTCATGGACTGTGGACATCAGAGCCGGTTATCAGACCCAGGCCTGTCTGAGCCCTGATGCTCAGGTGTTCCTCTAGGGAGCATGGGATGGGGCAGCCCCAGCCTGGGTCACTGGAGCCTCGGTCTCGAGTTTTCAGCTCTTCCCCTTGCATTTCAGATCCTCTGGACCACGAGCTTGCCGTGTCTCCATTGCTCCCTCGAAAAGAGCGAGGTCCCCCAGAGGGTGGCCTGAATGAAGATGAGCGCCTTCTCCCCAAAGACAAAAAGACCAACTTGTTCAGCGCCTTGATCAAGAAGAAGAAGAAGACAGCACCAACACCCCCCAAACGCAGCAGTTCCTTCCGGGAGATGGACGGCCAGCCGGAGCGCAGAGGGGCCGGCGAGGAAGAGGGCCGGGACATCAGCAACGGGGCGCTGGCTCTTACCCCCTTGGACACAGCTGACCCAGCCAAGTCCCCAAAGCCTAGCAACGGGGCTGGGGTCCCCAACGGAGCCCTCCGGGAGTCTGGGGGCTCAGGCTTCCGCTCTCCCCACCTGTGGAAGAAGTCCAGCACGCTGACCAGCAGCCGCCTAGCCACTGGAGAGGAGGATGGCGGCAGCAGCTCCAGCAAGCGCTTCCTGCGCTCCTGCTCCGCCTCCTGCGTGCCCCATGGGGCCAAGGACACAGAGTGGAGGTCAGTCACACTGCCTCGGGACTTGCAGTCCACTGGAAGACAGTTTGACTCGTCCACATTTGGAGGGCACAAAAGTGAGAAGCCGGCTCTGCCTCGGAAGAGGGCAGGGGAGAACAGGCCTGACCAGGTGACCCGAGGCACAGTGACGCCCCCACCCAGGCTGGTGAAAAAGAATGAGGAAGCTGCTGATGAGGTCTTCAAAGACATCATGGAGTCTAGCCCAGGCTCCAGCCCGCCCAGCCTGACTCCAAAACTCCTCCGTCGGCAGGCCATGATGGCCCCTGCCTCGGGCCTCCCCAACAAGGAAGAAGCTGGGAAGGGCGGTGCCTTAGGGACCCCTGCTGTAGCTGAGCCAGTGCCCCCCACCAGCAAAGCGGGCTCAGGTGTACCAGCAGGCACCAGCAAGGGTCCCACCGAGGAGTCCAGAGTGAGGAGGCACAAGCACTCCTCTGAGTCACCAGGCAGGGACAAGGGGAAATTGTCCAGGCTCAAACCTGCCCCGCCGCCCCCACCAGCAGCCTCTGCAGGGAAGGCTGGAGGAAAGCCCTCACAGAGCCCGAGCCAGGAGGCGGCCGGGGAGGCAGGCCTGGGAGCAAAGACAAAAGCCACAAGTCTGGCTGATGCTGTGAACAGTGACGCTGCCAAGCCCAGCCAGCTGGGAGAGGGCTTCAAAAAGCCAGTACTCCCAGCCACTCCAAAGCCACAGTCCACCAAGCCATCGGGGACCCCCGTCAGCCCAGCCCCCATTCCCTCCACGTTGCCATCAGCATCCTCGGCCCTGGCTGGGGACCAGCCATCTTCCACTGCCTTCATCCCTCTCATATCAACCCGCGTGTCTCTTCGGAAAACCCGCCAGCCTCCAGAGCGGATCGCCAGCGGCACCATCACCAAGGGCGTGGTCCTGGACAGCACCGAGGCGCTGTGCCTCGCCATCTCTAGGAACTCTGAGCAGATGGCCAGCCACAGCGCGGTCCTGGAGGCCGGCAAAAACCTCTACACGTTCTGCGTGAGCTACGTGGATTCCATCCAGCAAATGAGGAACAAGTTTGCCTTCCGAGAGGCCATCAACAAACTGGAGAATAATCTCCGGGAGCTTCAGATCTGCCCGGCGACAGCAGGCAGTGGTCCGGCAGCCACTCAGGACTTCAGCAAGCTCCTCAGTTCAGTGAAGGAAATCAGCGACATAGTGCAGAGGTAGCAGCAGCCAGGTGTTTGGTGTCAGGCCCACCAGAGCTGCCTGCGGGTCCACCCGTACCTGTGACAGTGGCTGACAAGGGACCAGTGAGTCAGCACCTTGGCCCTGGAGCTCTATGCCAGGCAGAGCCCAGGGCCCTGTGGAGTCCAGCTCTACTACCTACATTTGCACCGACTGCCCTCCTGCACCTTCCTCCTCCCTGCCCGGGCACCCTGCTCCGTCTCTGTCCTCGAGTTTTATCTGTGGAGTTCCCGCTCCGTGGACTACAGTTGGCATGCTGGGGCCCGCCAGCCTCGCTCCTGCTTAGCGCTCCAGGCTCTCCAGGCCAGGTGGGAATGGCTGATTTGGAGTGTCCTTTTCGTTTTCTCCCTGGAGCCCCTCTTCCCCTGGCTGGGCCTTTTCCTTCCACTTCTCCAAGAACGGAAGCCTGACTGAGGCCTGTGCATCAGGCCCTCTGCCTGCACTTCCTGGCCTTGCCCCTCCTGTGCTGAAGACATGCTTCAAGAACCACATTTCGGGAAGAGCACACACGGCCATGCACATGGCTGGTCACTCTGCCCTCTGCTGCTGCCCGGGGCGGGATGCGCTCAACACTTCCTCACGTGCAGGACGGCTCTTGATTTGGGTGGAAATCGGTGCTAAAGCCAACCAGCCTTTTGGGTCCTGGGCAGGTGGGAGCTGAAAAGGATGGAGGCACCAGCCGTGTCCTTTTTGTCTGTCCTCTCCACATCCCTGGAGCCCAGCTCTTGCTCTCTCGTGACGTGCACTGTGAATCCTGGCAAGAAAGCTTGAGTCTCAAGGGTCCAGGTCACTGTTACTGCCAACATCCCTCCCCAGCAGAAGGGAGGCAGTGGTAGTTGGGTGAACAGCTGGTGCCAGATAGCCCCAGACTGGGCCAGGAAGGTCTGCAGGGGCCCAGAGTGAACCTTCCTTTCACACATCTGGGTGCCCTGAAAGGGCCAATCCCCTTCCTGCTCCTCTAACATAAGGGAGATTCTTACAAGGCCCATTCCTTTGGAACAAGACAGTCTTCACTTTTCTGAGTTCTTGAAGCATTTCAAATCCCTGCCTCTGTGTAGCCACTCTGAGAGAACAGAGCTGCCACCGGGCACTTGCACACACGCAGGAGGAAAGGCCCTGACCAGTCCCGGCCGCACTCTTGAACTGGGCGAGTATCTTATTTAATTACCATGAGTGACATAGCCTCATGTTCTATGGGGTTCATCAGGGAGTGTTAGGAAAACCACAAATGAAGCCCCTGAAGGCATCGAGTGTTTCACAGAGCACGCCTGGCATCTTCTCCCCGAGGCTGCCCCAGGCTGGAGCCCAGGTATGGGGGCTGTGACTCTGGGCAGGGACCTGGGGTCTCCTGGACCTTGACAGAGCAGCTAACTCCAAGAGCAGTGGGCAGGTGGCTGCGCCCCGGTCTCCACAATGGGAGAACCAGGAGGAGCCGCCTTCCCGCCCCTGTGCTGCCTCGTGCCGCCAGCCTCACACGGGCCCTAGCTTTATGCTCGTCACCTAAACTTGGACTTTATTTTTCTGGTAGAAATGGTTTTCTCTGGATCGTTTTATGCGGTTCTTACAGCACATCACCTCTTTGCCCCCAACGGCTGTGACCCAGCCCAAGGGAGGCATTAGTCACCGACAGCGGCCTTGAAGACAAAGCAAAGCACCCACCCAGGTCCCCCAACCGCCTGTTTCTGTGAGGTACTGGTCCCTTTTTTTTGTTAACGTGATGTGCCACTATATTGTACCCATATCTCTCAGTATGCATCTTTTATAGACGGTCTTTTATCAGTGGCGCGTGCACAGCGCCCACCCTGCTCCCTCGGACGTGTGCAGTGGTTCCTCTGCGTCTCTTGGTCTAGTGCATTTTGTTTCTGTATATGATTCTCTGTGTTTTTTTTGAACCCAAATCTCTCCTCTGTAGTATTTTTTAAATAAATCAGTGTTTACAACATTAGAATCCTTGGCAGATTGCTTCGGCCTGTGATCCTGCCCTGTTGTTCTGAGCCTGTGTGTGTGGGGGCCGGGATGCAGTGGGTTCTGGTGTCCCAATGGGGCTGGAGCCGGTGGCAGGTCTCACAGAGCAACGGTGGCAGGTTGGCCCCAGCTGCCCCGGCCCCCTGCGGCCTGGGAGCCCACAACCATTTTTCAGGCACTTGTCCTACTATGCTTGGACGCTTCCTGTACCCTTGGCACTTACCTGCCAGCAGCCCAGCCCTGCCCGAATCACTGGGCATGGGCTGTGCCACCAGCCTGAGGCTGGCTAAGGGCAAATCCCTCCCCACGTGTGCCTGTTCCCTCTCTACGTTTCCACCCTATGCCCCCAGGCGCCCCTCACTCACCTGTTTTTCTCATGCCAGGTGTCTTAGATCTTTGTGTGGACGAGGAGGAGCGGTGGTGTGCTGGCCTTCGGAGCCTGGGAAGGCCATCCCAGACTGAGCCCCACCGCCCTTCCCCAGCTCAGTCCCCACCGAGCTCACAGCTTGGAAAGGGGCATCTGGGAAGTGAGCAGCGCCCTCGGATAATGATACTCATCAGGCCAGCAGGCTTGTCAGGGGTGCAGACCCTGCTCAGCAGAGCATGTGAAGATCACGGCTCATTGAAGCTCCTCCCAGGAGACCTGGAGCAAGACATGCTGTGCAGGTGGGGCTGGTGGTGCCCACCGTAGGGCGCTCAGAGCAAGTGGCTACCAGCAGTGCCAGGCACCAGATTCTCCCCCTCTTGTTTCACAGGGACAAAAACAGTCGGGCCCCCGAGTTCCTTGCCGGTTGAACCATAGCTGTCCACCAGACCTATCAAGTCTGGGGCTTTTCAGGGGTGTCCTCTGAATGGCTGCTCCCACATCTGAACAAAGACATGGGACAACTCTGGTGACATCCACAGCTGGCGGCTGCTTCCTCCCGTCAGATGTGGACTGTCACGCCGCCCTCCTAGCACTTAGTGCCGAGGCTTCGTGTCCAGAGTCAGCTCCTGCATATGAGGCCAGTCGGCCGCACTGGGCCAGCGTGGAGGAAGATGCCTCTCATCTCCTGAATGAGGATCTTGGATGGGTGTCTGTCCATTTCTGTCAGTTGAGCTTATAAAACTTAGTTTGGTCTAGCCATTCTAAGAGAGTGGTTTCCTAACCTTCTCTAGGTCACAGAACCTCCTGAGAACCTAATGAAAACTGTGGATCCCAGCCCCAGAAAAATGCACCTCTTTGCACACACCTAGCACTTTCCAGCTCATTTCCAGTCCCGCCTTTGAGGTCCTAAACCAGGGAATACCCATGGGCCAAGCCCAGCAAAGGGGCTGGCAGCTATTATTACAAAACACCAGCCTAAGGTATCACATTTTCTTGAAAGGCCAGGCAAGGTGGCTCATGCTTGTAATCCCAACACTTTGGGAGGCTGAGGAGGGCAGATTGCTTGAGCCCTTGAGTTCAAGACAAGCCTGGGCAATGTAGTGAGACACCATCTCTACAAGAAAATATAAAAACTAGCTGGGTATGGTGGGAGGATCACTTGAGCCCAGAATGTGGAGGTTGCAGTGATCGTGCCACTGGACTCTAGCTGGGACAACAGAGTGAAATCCTGTCTTTAAAAAAAATTTTTTTTTCTTTTGAGACCGAGTTTCACTCTTGTTGCCCAGGCTGGAATGCATTGGGATGATCTCCGATCACTGCAACCTCTGCCTCCCAAGTTCAAGTGATTCTCCTGCCTCAGCCTTCTGAGTAGCTGGGATTACAGGCACGCGCCACCACACCTGGTTAATTTTTGTATTTTTAATAGAGATGGGGTTTCGCCATGTTGGCCAGGCTGGTCTCAAACTCCTGACGTCAAGTGATCTGCCCACCTCAGCCTCTCAAGGTGCTGGGATTACAGGAATTTTTTTCTTAAAAAAAAAAAATTCAAGGCCGGGTGCGGTGGCTCAAGCCTGTAATCCCAGCACTTTGGGAGGCCGAGGCGGGTAGATCACGAGGTCAAGAGATCGAGACCATCCTGGTCAACACGGTGAAACCCCATCTCTACTAAAAATACAAAAAATTAGCTGGGCATGGTGGCGCGTGCCTGTAATCCCAGCTACTCAGGAGGCTGAGGCAGGAGAATTGCCTGAACCCAGGAGGCGGACGTTGCGGTGAGCCGAGATCGCGCAATTGCACTCCAGCCTGGGTAACAAGAGCGAAACTCAGTCTCAAAAAAAATAAAATAAATTCAGATGTCTATGAACAGAAATGAAGTGACAATCTCACCACATAACTACGAGCAGAGCAGCCAGACACCACACAGCAGCACCAGAAGCCTCCATTCTTGTAAAGGCACAGCCAGCACGTAGTGTCAGAAGTCAGGACGGAGGGGAATGTGGGATGGAGGAGGTCGTGCCTGGTTAGGTTAGTGCCCTGGGGGCAGGTCTGTTTCTGGGTGACACTGGCTAGCGGGTATGTCATTTAGTGGAACTGTGTCAGACCATGCAGTTAGAACAGGTGCACACTCGGCATGCAGTGCACTTCAGTGACGTTTTCCTAAACTTGCAGCCCATGTGGGAGCACGTTCAGCATTCCAGCCACCCCACGGCCCTTCTCCAAGTTACCACTGGAAAGCCACATGCCACTTTTTTTTTTTCCTAGATGGAATCTCCCTCTGTCGCCAGGCTGGAGTGCAGTGGTGTGATCTCAGCTCACTGAAACTTCCACCTCCCAGGTTCAAGTGATTCTCCTGCCTCAGCCTCCCAAGTAGCTGGGACTATAGGTGCGCGCTATCACTCCCGGCTAATTTTTATATTTTTGGTGGAGATGGGGTTTCACCATGTTGGCCAGGATGGTCTCGATCTCTTGACCTTGTGATAGGCCTGATTTGGCCTCCCAAAGTGCTGGGATTACAGGCATGAGCCACTGCGCCTGGCCCACCACTTTTTGTAATGAAGTTTTTGTCACTGTCCTCTGACAGGTAAGGAAACTGAGGCTCAGAGAGGTGAAGTGGCTTGGCCAAGGTCACACAGCATGGTGCCTACCATGGCAGGATAATTTGTAAACAGTGTAGCCGGTCCCAAAAGGACCAGGAGAGAGCTGTGCCCCAGGACCGGGTTCTTCCTTTCACAGTGGAAAGAAAGTATTCCAGCACTTTGGGAGGCTGAGGTGGGTGGATCACGAGGTCAAGAGATCGAGATCATCCTGGTCAACATGGTGAAACCCCGTCTCTACTAAAAATACAAAAAATTAGCTGGGCATGGTGGCGCCTGCCTGTAATCCCAGCTACTCAGGAGGCTGAGGCAGGAGAATTGCCTGAACCCAGGTGGCGGAGGTTGCGGTGAGCCGAGATCGCGCCATTGTACTCCAGCATGGGTAACAAGAGCGAAACTCCGTCTGAAAAAAAAAAAAAAAAAAAAGAAAGAAAGTATTCCAGCCAGCCCAGCTCCTTGGGCAGCAGAGATCATTTACAGGAGGCCTTCCTAAATAAAGTGGCCTGGGGAAGCAAGCCTAAATGTCCTCTTACAAGAAGACATTAGGTGAGACCAGACCCACCACAGTGTCCCTATCAGCACTGCCCTCATCCCTGGGGGTCACCTAACATCTTGCTCCCCCACCCCACACTCCAGTTGATATCACTTCTGTAATCGGGGAAGCCTCTGAGCTCTTTCTGGGAGGGCATTTCTGAGCCTCCGAGGAGCTGCAGATTGCAGGAGCACTGGCTGCACAGAGCATGCCCCAGCTCCCGGCCCAGAAGGTAGAAAGTACCTTGTAAGGTTTGGGCTTGTGAGTGAAATCTGTCAAGCAGCGTCTATGGCACTGGGGCAAAGTCAGGACGAAGTGGCTTCCCTCTTGATCACTACAGTAGCTGTCTATGGCTGACTGCCCTCAGGAGCCTGCTTCATTTGGGATTTTTTCTTAAATATTTTTATTAGTATTTCAAACATACAGAAAAAAACAAATGTTTTCCATTCATCTTGATAGTGAAATACCTTTAGATCCACACACCAAGATGAAGAGCACCTTGTGTCTTGGATAGAAGTAACGGGCAGATGCAGGCAGCTCGCAGGCGCTCTGGGCTGGAGGAGCTGTAACTGCCAGGCCCGGTGGAGTGAGTGGGCACCGCTCAGGGGAGCTTCATCTCTCTGCTTCCAAAATAAATGTTTTCTGGAGTCTCACCTTCACCCTCCTGGACAGGGGTAACCTTACCTGTGGAGGAGAGGGCGAGGGCTCAGGGGGCGCTGGGATGGCATGAGAGGCCCGAAGACTTGGCAGACACGGTGGGCTTGGCAGCAGGGCAGTGGGTTAAAGAGAAAGCTTAGCCAAGCCCAGCGGGAGCTGATTTGACAGCAGTGCCCTTAGCAGCTTGATTGTGCGGATTTTCAGGGCTATTGAGCTCAAGTGTACAAGCAAACTGGAAAGAATAGCTTCGTTGGGTGTTTTTAAATGATAAAAGCATAATGACAGCATATCCACTCCTTTGAAGGCGCCCCCCACCACCGTGTTCTTTATCTCAGGTTTCTCCATCAAGGTTAACCTAATCCTGCTCAATTAACAGCCAGCCACTGCGTACCCAAAGAGCCTGTGGAAGTGTGCAGGGTGGCCCAGCCTGGGCCTTCTCCAAAGTAGTGACCATGGGTGGCTCGTTGCTCAGGATACAGAAGTTGGCAAGTGATGGGTGGCCAGGGACCTCACTTCGGGGCGTTCCTCTGCCCTCAGCCTGCTGTGTTTCCCCTGGTCTCCGGTGAGCACAATCTCCAGCTGCTTTGCATGAATGAGCCAAGGGAGGAATTGATCTAGCTTACTGCCTCCCCTCCCTCAAGCCTCTGACACGAGTTTGAAATGGATACTCTGCCCAGCCCCAGGCCTGCAACCACTCCCTGCTGAGCACAGGCTCTCCCTGGGGCAGAGAAGTTGTTTTCCAAATGCTCCTTTTTCTTAGGAAACCTGGGAAGGGGCAGCCGAGTGGAAGAGAAAGGCACACCCTGTATTGAGCACACCTGCAGGTGAGCAAA